GTTTAAATTTCATTAGATTCTTCTGCTTTTTGTTTAAGTTCTCTACATTAAATAAACACAAACAAACGATTTCTGGGTTTTCTCTTTGGCCTTTGAAGATGTGCTTGCGGAAACCAATCGTTGATCGCTGATTGGATCCACTTGAAATTAGAGTATACCCACATGTGGGAATCTTCCATTTTATCGTATCGCTAAACATACTTATAGGACAGCCCATAATGACTGCTCTTTTCAAGGGAGATCATATTTTAAACGATATATGTAAAAAGGTTTTTTTCTTCTTAGATTTAAATTTTCTTAGAGGCATACAACTTTAGATCCAATTTAATTATATACATTTACTCGAGTAACTTACAACAAAATCAATTAAGGAGTCACTTTATAATCTCTATTGTCGTGCATTGAATTATGTATGTTTTTTTCTAAAATGCATTGACAAATAAAACGAGTCAATAATTTTCCAATTTGAAGAACTATAAATACTGTAGGAATTATTATTATACCCTTGCAGAGGGTATTATAATTTTGGTCAAAAGTGTGCAACGCAGTGAAGGAGACATCTCCGACCCTATAAAGTATATATATTCTTGATCAGGATCACCTCCTGAGTTGATATAGCCATGTCCGTCTGTCCGTCTGTCCGTCTGTCCGTCTGTCCGTCTGTCCGTCTGTCCGTCTGTCCGTCTGTCCGTCTGTCTGTCCGTCTGTCTGTTTCTACGCGAACTAGTTTCTCAGTTTTAAAGATATCGAATTGAAACTTTGCACACACCCTTCTTTCCTTTGCACGCAGTATATAAGTCGGAACGGCCGGGATCGGCCGACTATATCCTATAGCTGCCATATAACTGATTGATCGGAAATGCCATAACTCTGCTGTTTGTTAAGTTAGGAAGTTGGGACTCTCTATGGGTATTATATTTGGCCAATCAATCCGACGTACCAAATTTCATAAGGATCGGCCGACTATATCCTATAGCTGCTATATAACTGATTGATCGGAAATGCCATAACTTTGGTGTTTGTATAGTTAGGAAGTTGGGATTTTCTATGGGTTTAATATTTGGCCAATTAATCCGACCTACCAAATTTCATAAGGATCGGCCGACTATATCTTATAGCTGCCATATAACTGATTGATCGGAAATGCCATAACTTTAGTGTTTGTTAAGTTAGGAAGTTGGGATTTTCTATGGGTTTTATTTTTGCCCAATCAATCCGACATATCAAATTTCATAAGGATCGGCCGACTATATTCTATAGCTGCCATATAACTGAACGATTGGAAATGCAATAACTTTGGTGTTTTTAAAGTTAGGAAGTTGGGATTTTTTATGAATATTAAGAATGCATCATATGAATAATTTTGGAGAATATAATTTGCAGAATATTCTGCAAGGGTATTTCAACTTCGGCTCCGCCCGAAGTTAGCTTTCCTTTCTTGTTACTAATATAAATTTTTATTGTTAGGGAATTTTTAGAAATTTGTTGACTAATTAATGTAGGGAAGGTATGACTAGAAAAAATTTAATGTATGCATCATTATTAGTTACTATTGGGTTATTACTTTGTAGTCTTATCAAATAAGGTGAAATACTTATCACCATTTTTGAGTTTGCCTTTACGGAGGTTTGATTGGCAATAAACACTTATTTAAAATTATTTGATAAAAATATAAAGAAGTGTTCTTTCTTGTACAGTTTTATAAACTAATTGTTTTCTGGTTAAAACCAAATAGCTAAGTAGGTCGGAAATAGAAGTTCAAAACAACAATTTTAATACCGCAAAAATTCCTTGAGCTCTGTTTGTTCTCGATAATTTTACCAACAATTCCTGTCCCAGGGGATCTCATATCAATACCCGGAAAAAAGCTCTATAGAGCTGCGAAAAATAAGGGAGGCTAAGGCGTGACCCCGCCCATTGGGTGTGGTGCGATTCGTTTTCATTCAATTGAAGGCGAATAGTTTCTATTCCACATGTAAACATCATACACAGTATGGTTTCTTTTTTTTATTCATATGTATATGTATATGTATACAACATTGTATAACTATTTATTGTTTGTATTTCTTGGCTCGGTTCTCCAGTAATAAATTGTCAAATGATTCATTCTAGCAAAGTAGTGCGAAAAAACGTGGAATATCGAAAAATATTCCATACCCAGGCAAAATGTGGTGAACGGAAAACGTAAACTAATCTATAAATAGTTTTATATTCGATACTAAGAACGGAGATCGCGCAAATTTGTTTGTTTTCGGCTCCGAATGTATGAAAAACAAATAAACATTGGGGCTGGATCTACATAAATAAATGCACTATGGCACTATGTGTGTGTGCGTATGTGCGTTAATAAAAAGTAGTTTCAAAAATAGATTGCACCCGAAGATATAGTCAAGTGAAGTTCGAATGCAGTAAACTGAAACTGATTACAGTGGTTCATTCGAGTTTTAACGGTGTATGAAAATAATATAAGTAATTTGTATATAAAAAAAAAGAGCTCTAAGAAATAATGATTTACTTTCTTTTATAATTTTCTAATACCTTGTTTGTTGTACCTTGGTAGTTGTACAGTTTTATAAAACCTCGACAATAAAGCTTAGACATATGTATAACAAAATTAAGAAAAAACCCGCTCGATATTAAAGCGAAATTGGTAATTTGAAAGTAATAATACAATTTGTGTAACAATTACATAACATCTTTAGCTTTATAACTGTGTTATTCTTACTGTGGCACCACTGTTTTCATTTATGCTTTTCTTTGCATTCGGCCCACTGTGTGTCATACCTGCAACTGTATGTGGCAGGCTTGCTGTCTCACTCTGGCGTTTGCTATCTCCTCAATGGGCCACGCACATGCGACTGTGCAACTGCAGCTGTGCGAAAGGGATGGGCTATCTTTGCAAGAAGGTATTTGGCATTTATTGCTGTTGTTCTTAAACTCTTGCATGCAAAATATAAACAAATGCTATAAATACACACGCACACGTACTTCTGTGTGTACGTGTTGGGGCCACACAACATGCACAACGTCTTCTTCTTCTACCTTTTTGCCTCCTTCTTTTTCACCTTCTCCTTTTGTCTTCTTTTTCGATTTCTTCTTAGTTTTTTTTCTTTGCCAATTTAGCCAACGTAAGCAATTTCGCAAAAAACAAAACCAACAACACGAAGAAGCAACAGTTTATCAAATAAATAAACATAACAGCTCACTAGCAAATGTGTGAGCTTAATTTCGTATGCAGCCCACTGTGCACCGCCGGCAAACTGACAAGCGTCGACATTTGAGCAATGTGCCATCGTCCGTGGGGCATACAAATTAAATACGTTTTTCTCCATTCCCTTGTTGTATCATCTTCTGCTGCTTTTTTTTGTAGCTTTATTTTCAATATCAAGCAGCTACGCGTGCGCGTGCACTGCATACAAAAAAAGAAAATTTAAAGCCAACAAGTTAGCAGCGAATTAACAGCGCCATAACAGAGAGCGAAAATAAAACAAAATGCAAACGAAGAAGGAGAGAAAGAAGCAGCACAGTCAAAACAAATCGGTTTATGTGTGTGTGTGTATGCGTGTCTGGTGTACATACACATTATTGCATGCTGGCATGCAAAAAAATAACAAAACGAAATGGAGAAACCGGCCTGCATCTTCTTTCTCCCTCTCTCCCTCTCTTGTGACGTATGCGCAGAACTAGTTTCGTTTCATTTCCATTCATTTCGTTTCGCTTCTGGCACATTGCCAAATAAGAAGAAGAAGTAGACGAAGAAACGGTGAAACAAGAGCAACAAAAACAAAAGAGAATAAAAAAACAGCTGTGTGAGCTGCACAGTGGAACAAGAATGACACGCAATCGTATCGTGCCGCTGTGACGTCACAATCAATGGCTAGACAGCCGGTGAATGAAACTTGTTGTTGTTGAGCCGGCGTTGCCAAGTAATATGTCTATGTACGAATGTACATAAATATACATATATATATAGGTATATACGTGTTAATATGCATACACAACAAAAAATATAGAAACATGTTTCGTGCCAAGTTCTAAAATTACACATAACAAGAAACACAAGCACAGACACACAACCCCAAAAACAACAATTTCATGTGCAATGAACGAAAAAGAAGAAGCATGTGATTAATTTTTTTGTTTATTTCATTCGCATTAAAAATCGAAAGCAGAAGTTGAATGAAAACGGTCCGTTCTTTGCCAAATTCTGCAAAAGATTTACAAAAGAAAAGCGTCGTGGGGGTTAAAAAAATAGCACTGCGTTAAAGACAAAATTAAAATCAATATAAACAAAAATACAATATAAAGAAAACAATAAAATAACAACATTTGTGTTCATTGTAAATTAAAACGGAACAGCCCAATCCCAAGTAACTAATTACAAAAATCGTTTTTTTGCGCATTTTAAAAACTAAAAAACAGCGAAATCTCACCAATTGATCAGATAACCAATGAAAATGCTACCTGTAAATGTTTAAAAACATTTAGTTGGTTTAGAGGTCAGTTATGCCACACCCTCTTCTTTGTCAACTTCGTATAGATTATAATTTAGTATAAATAATAGGATGCAACCTTAATTACAGGCTGTCAGTAGTAAGTTTATTTACCTTGACTGTAATATTGGAATTGTTGGTGGGTGTGTCGGCATACATATGTACATACATATGTACTTTTACGTAGTGGGGCCAAGGCCCTTTTGACAAATGCACTTGACTCACGAGAAACTAAGTCGTCTTTACTTGATTGCGGTATTGTATACTGATCAATGATCATTTTCAATTTGATATGTGAAACCGCTATTTTTGGAATATATTAATTTTATATTTAAATATCAAAATGTACTCGATTTAGGCCTATTAAATTGAAAGCCTACCTTTAGCTAACCATAAATACTTGATATCCGTGTAACATTATGTACCTTGCAAATATATATATTCAACCTGGAACCTGCAACCTGCAACCTATTCCTAATCTGAATCTTCCCAATCTTCCCATTGCAGAGCACATGTCCCCGGCCAGTCGACGCAATGGATCGAGCCCGCCCTCGGGACCGCTGCCTCCGCGCAGCGTACACTCGCCGAATAGTTCGGGTAAGTTTGTAGCTTCAACATCGATTGCGTACTAATTGCATGACTTAAACAAAAAATACAAATAAATTTTAACAAAATAATTAAAAAAAACAAAAAAATAACGAAAGTCTCTTCTTTTATAAATATTATTTTTATATATTCAATAGTCAAAATAGTTTTACAGTCTCTAGTGCCATATATATTTAATCATGATCATTTCCTCATTATTTATTTTAGTTGTTACATTGAATTGTTTAAATTGATGTACTTTTTTTTATTTATTTTACTTGTCACTGATAAGTTTTCACATTCAATAATGTGAGCCTCTAGTGCAGTCCATTAAGTTTTGTTTATTTTGTAGTGATAAGTCTGTTTTTTGATGATTCCAAACAAACTAATTTCGTTGGCAATCCTTTCAGGTTCCTCGTCGGGACGTCGTTCATCCGGATCCCGTCACGTGTCCAGCACCACCGTCACCAGCTCCGAGGTGGGTGGCTCAAATCAGGGCCAAGCGGTGGCGGCCGGCGGACTTGGAGGTGGTGGCGGTGGCGGAGGAGGGCCCGGAGCCAATGCCGCCGGCGGACCCCTTGGCGGACCGAGCGTCGGCGGCGGCAGTGGACAACTGAGCTGCACCAGCGGCGGACCGGGCGGCAGTGCCGGCTCCGGGACCGGTGGCAATGGAGCCATCGGCCCCGCCTCAATGGCGCCAAATTCGGTGACCGGCGATGGCAGTCCAGCCGGCGGCAGCGGTCCATCCGGCAGCAATGGCAGCGGCGGAGCCGTGAATCCCGGTCCCGGCAGCAGCGGCAGTCAGTGCGGGACACCTTTGGCCAGCGGTGGCGGTGGAGGATCGGCGGGTGGCGGCGGCGGTCTCAGCGGAGCTCCGGGCAGCAGTGCCGCCTCAAATTCCGCAGCGGCAGCGGCGGCGGCGGCCGCCCAGAATGCCACGCTCAAGTGCACCCTGTGCCAGGAGCGATTGGAGGACACGCACTTCGTGCAGTGCCCGTCGGTAAACCACCACAAGTTCTGCTTTCCCTGCAGCCGCGAGAGCATCAAACGACAGAATGTGAGTGGACAAAAATTCTTGAAATATCTACCTCAACATATTTTCCATCTGACTTTTGGTAAAGTTTTGGTTAGTTTAATAGAGGTTATATACTTTGTACTTTTGGAAAATAAAAGTTTCGCTGATCTTGCGCTTTTGTTAGATAATCTTAAAATGAATCCTTGAAGCCCTTAGTAATTATTTGTTTAAATTAAGGCTAAGTCAATTAAATATAATAGCTAAATCATTTTTGTTATCAAAATTTATCAATTGTGTATAATCAATTGTATATACCTTCCAAAAATATAGAACTCTTTGTTCTTTTATGCTCGAAATGGAACATTTTATTTGAAAGAAATAAGCTTTAAATATTTAGGAAGTCACAATATAGAGTAAAATGCATCCAAATGGAACAACTAATACAAATGAACAGGAGGATAGTTAATCATTTGACAGCTGGAAAAATATGTTGTCGTGGACTTGTTGAATTTTTATTAAATCCTTTGCTCATCCCTAACTTTTTCTCTTTATCGACAGGGTCTGGGCAACGAGGTGTACTGTCCCAGCGGCGATCGCTGTCCGCTAGCCAACTCGGTGATACCTTGGGCCTTCATGCAGGGCGAGATCACCACTATCCTGGGCGAGGAGGTCAAGGTGAAGAAGGAGCGCGAGTCTTAATGTCCATTTTACTGTAAGAAGCTGCGCAGAGCTTTGGAGCACTTTTGAGATGCGAACGAAGACCAACCCCCTGGATAATATCTCGCAACCAACTCTCGACCCTCTTCAGTTGGGTCACTGGTTTACGATTGGGGGATTTTAAGGAGCAACAACCGACTTTTTTTGGCTACGGCGGCGGCATCTCAGCAGTAGCAGACATGAATATAAAATGCTCTGACTTTGTCCATGACGACCGACCAAACGACAACAACAACAGCAACAACAGCAAAACCACAATTTTGTAGGCGTAAGCAAAAAATGATGAAACCACTTAATGAAAAATGCAATTTGTTACCAGCAAACAAAAAAATGTTAAGGAGAAAAGAAAAGAAAGGAAAAGAAAAACACCAAAACGCTCGCAAATGAGAAAAACAAATGTAAAAACGAAAGCGTTGAACACACATTTTTGTAGCATATTTGTAGGCGTGCGTTGGAAAATTTGTCCGAAATACCAACTTATACAAAAATGCATACGTAGCCAAGTGAGATAGATTACCGAACCGAAAACAAATGGGAGAAACTTGAAATATTTCTTAATTACAAAGCAAAAACTAAAATCAACCTACTTGTAGCAGAAGCAAGCGGCAAATCACAAATAAAGGAATATACACTTGCTGGCATTAGATATAAAACCCTTTTTTTTAATACGAGTATACATAAAACCTATATATTATACGATAACTATAGATTTTGTTATGTAGGCGAGCGATTTAATTGATAAGTTACGTTTAGTTTGTACTAATTAATTAATTTATTTCTATAAATGTTGCCTAATTTACAATCTACATTTTACCCTCCTTCCCTCACACTTTCACGTTTTTTTTAAATACTTATTATTTTTATTTTTATAAATACCTTTATTTTTTTTTTTTTGTAATTTTAACTAATTTAAAACAACACAATGAAAGAAACGAATGGAAAAGAAAGAGAGAAAAACAGTTATTATGCTAAAGAAAAATGTACATACGTATGCATACCACATAATCGGAATATAAATATATAATATTAATAATATAGAAATATATTTGATGTTGAATACAAAATTGGCGGCGAAAAAACATCTGGCAACACTCCACAAAAGAACGGAGTTGCAGTGGAATTTTAAACAGACTTTTAAACCACAGCGAATACCATTCGCTCACTAAGAATTTTAGCTATATGTTTTGTGTTTTTGAGCGAGGGGAAGCTGGCTCATCCGGGCAGCCACTCGCATTGGGTATTCAGATTGGCAAACGGTTTTAAGCTATATATATATTTAGGGTGTATATAGCCGATGTCGCTGGGCAAGAACTGCAAAAAGAATGAACGAAACACTCACACACTGGACCAACCAATCGAAAAATGCACAACAAATCTCGATATCGGTTTTAAATTTGCCAGCCAAAAATCTTTTTTGCAAGCGTTCAATTTGGAACGCGATTTGGGACTGCGTCTATGCCAACTGTCCTTTTTGCAGTTCCAATTCAAAACTAATTTATAAATACAGTCTACTAGAGGATTTTTTACTAGAGACAAAACGAAAATCCTAATGGAGGGCGATTACTGAATAAAATGAAAGGGGAAATGTAAAGCGAATCAGGCATCATATAAAAATGATATATGCGTAAAACATACATATTGTGGGAATATGAGCCAGGCGTATTATCATGTTCAATTCGCCAAATTCTTGCAACTTACTTCGACTACATTTAACAATTCGATAAATGAAAATCATAGATTTCATTTGAAATATTGTATTAAATCAATCAATCGTATTAATCAAATACATATGTTCATTATTTCATTTTTTTTTATTGTAGTTCTAAAGCACATTTCTTCCTATATAGTAAAATAATTTAATCAGAGTTTCGTTTTGGGAGAATGCGGATTTTTCACAACTTAATTGGTACAATGTATAGATAGCAAAATCAATGCGTTAGAAACATTGAATAATTGGCAATTGTCAATAGAAATGAAAAAGTAAGTGAAAATTGCTGCAACTTCTAAATTTATCAAGATGAAGAAGCTTTAGATCTACTTATAACATCTAATCTAATGATCCGATCCATATTGGCTTTGATTTATTACATTTATAATTTCTTTTTCTAAGTCCATTTAACCTACAAATTTTTGGTTTATCTTCGAGCGGAAGAACATTTTGAAAAAAAAAAACAAAAGATAATGAAAAAACACATTTTGTGATATAGCCTAGCAAGAACAACAACAAGAAGAGCATGAAATCCTGGAAATCGGAAATACGAAAATGGAAAAATGGAAAGCAAAGAAACTAAGAAAACTTTAGCACGTCCAGCACTTCGGACATCCAGAAAACGATCTCATTTTGAATAAAATGAGGTTTTGAGGATTGGAGAAAAAAAAAACGAAAACCAAAAGAAAAAGAAAAATGAAAAAATAAAATTTATAAAGAAATCATACAATAGGCCAATACCAACGTTTTAGCAATCTAAGTCTAAGAAGGGAACTAATCGAAATTTTCTTTACAACAAAAAACTAAACTAAATAATAACTAACGTTTGTAAACCTTGTGCGTGTGTGTGTAAAACAGTAGTGCTATCTAAATATAATACAGATATCGCATAATGCATCAACCTTATATAAGTACGAGTACATACATATTAAAAAAAACCCAAGAACAAAAACAAAAAAAGAAGCAAAGGGAAGAATATAAACTATATTTGTGTGTTTGATGTCAGTCAACTAAATGTTAAAGTCAACTAACGATCACGTAATTGTATTGCATAGCCTATAACATTTTTTGAACGAAGCAAAAACAAGTCGATTCGATTTAGCATGAGTATCAACTTTATACTACATATACACTTAACGACTAAAGATAGACACACATGTGGTATGTGGTACAACTAAGCGGAGAAGTGGACGAAAACGAATTCCAAATCGGAAGCGGAAGCTTTTCAGCGATTAATTGATTGATTGATTAATTGATTGGAAACTTTGATGACGGGCAAAACAATTAAAAATACTATACAAAATCGAAAAAACCATATAAACGTTTTTCTTGTTGTTTTTTTTTAACGGGTGGACTGGGTTGAGGAAGAAATCTTGGCTTTAAGTAAAGGATTCTAGCCAAACAATAATCTTCTTGCCATTTGAAAACATACCTGGAAATAAGTATTGCCTACTTTTGAGATGCTCCTTATACCTCGCAAAGGTTTTGGGATTTTAAATTGCTTTCTGGGTCCATTATTTTGGCATTACCTATCTTTTTTATTGTCAAGGTACATAAGCACATCCTCAAATAAATATACATACGTCCAATGACAAATATGGCACATACAACACGTACACCAGAATGATTAATCTTACATTTTTGAATATATTTATATAATTTGATAGTGAAAAATTGGTTTTTTGACAATTTGTGTTTACTTTACTCTTTATACTACTTGCAGGTTGTTTACTTTTTTGGTACCTTCCGAATTAGGTTTTTGTCTAATAAATTCTTGTTGGGGCAATTTTATTTTTTTTTTTGGTTCAATTTCAAAATAATCCATTTACGCCAACGCTTGTTTTAGGCACTGCTTTGCTTTACGCGTTTACCAACACAGAAACCAAGCCCACCAGCTGTTTACATCGCTTTATCTCCCTCGCACGCTTTTCGCTGCTGTGAGTTTCTTTTTTTTTTATTACAAAAAAATTGTTTAAATAAGTTTGCAGATATATGTGCATAATGGCGGTGTAATAGAATCGCCATTGTAAACAAAACAATAAAGGGGCGGGAAGTGCAACATAAACATTTGCCGATTCCATTTTGCAACATGAGAATGACCAATCAGCGAGGCAACAACAACAACATGGCGCACCTGCAACAAAAAACTTCATGTTGACGTCAACAAAGTGAAATTCGATCAAAGAATCGAACCGATAAAGCACGCGCCCAAAGAGGAGCTCGATAAACGGATAGCCGGTTGAAGAGGACGCGTCGTGGAGGAGGATCATCACCAGCAGCCCGACCACAGGATCAAGATGTACTCCGAATGGGCCTCGCTGTCCGCCCAAATTACGGCCAACAGCTGCGGCGCCCAGTGCTTCAGTGTCCTGAACAAGTTTCCCGCCTCCGCAGGACGCGAAGTGGTCGTCTCCGTGGTCAAGCAGCTGGGCAACAACCTGGGCATCACCCAGAACGCGGAGCCCAGTCATCTGGTCAAGGACGAGGAGGTGGGTAAAGGTGGCTAGAGGGAAGAGGATCATAGGTACCATCAACCAACAGGTGTATGAAACTACATATAAATATTCCTTGTAAAAACCTAAATATCCTAAATCTTATATGTATTTTAATCTGTAAGATTCAATCTGTAAGCTTTAAAAAATATACTTAGGTTATTTATTTATTTAGAATAGAAGAGAGGATCAAAATGGGTTAAAAATGTCAGTCATTAATTGTTATTCAGCGAAAGAATAGAGTTACATTGTTATTTGAATGATTTCATTTGTAATTTGATAATAAATCATGATTGATTGACTGTAAATGCGCACAAAAAGCTTCGATTAGCTTCATATAATAGTGCATATAATTACTTATGCAAGGCCAATTAATATTTCCTCAATATGGAACGGAATTTATATTGTTTGTTTGTTTAATCTAAAGGAAGCTATTTATAGACAACTCAGGTGGTTTTCTGAGAAAAATTAAATAAATGTTAACTTGTATAAGTTTTTGTTGAGAAAAAAATTAAAATTAGGAGTTCAATTTAGAATTTCAATTTAGAAACTGCACCTCAGGATCATCAGTAATGTCAAGAAATATAATACTTGATTCATTATATTCTAGGTAAAATGGTGCATGGACGTAATCTGCTTTGGTCTTTCGCTGCCGCTGCAGGAACACGAGACAATCAAGGACTGCGTGAATGTGTACTGTGAATGGCTGACGGCGCTGCATCCGCAACCCAGGATCAGTGTCCCGAAGCCGATCTGCGAGGATGCCAACCTCTATGCCCGCCAAATCATCAACCACTTCCACAACCTGTTTGTGCCGCGTCAGGGCGAAAGTAAGTTCCGAAAACTGGCCACTTGACCTTATTACCTTTATATGCTGCCCCTTGCCCCGTATTAATCCCCCTCTAAATTTCAAGTCTTGCCATTTCTATACCAAACCACGCTTGGTAGGTTGCTCGAATTGTTTATGAAAGACACTTAAGGAAAATAATGCCTAAGCTCAACAAATATTGCTGGATTTATCATTAATTACCCGAAATTGTTAGAAATTTGTAAAGATCTTAGGCAATATTTTTCCCAAAAGTGCATTTAACGCTTGAAACATTGAAAATCCAATACTAATTGTTATTCCTAATGACTTTCAGGTGCAGACACCATTAAGCGGCAGGCAGTGCTCTGCCATCGGGTGCTGCGAACTCTTCAACAAACAGCCCAGATATCGCAGCTGATGGACCGACAGACTTGGGACACCCTGCTTCTTTTCCTGTTGGCTATCAATGAGATTTTGCTGGCTCCGCCCACAGTCAAGGACGACGTAGGCGATCAGCTATGCGAACGGGTACTCTCCGTGCTCTTCGAGGTCTGGCTTTTGGCCTGCGTGCGAAGCTTCCCCTCACCGTCGATGTGGAAGACTCTCCAAGAATCCTGCGCCATGTGGCGACACCGAGTGGCTCTCGTGGATCAGTGGAATCGAGTGAATCTGGCCCTAACCGCTCGCCTCTTGGAGTTCAGCTATGGACCCGCTTTTCCCCAACTCAAAAACGGTGGGTTTGGATATATATTAAATACACTAAAGATCAAAGATAAGATATACAATCGATTCATTGTAAATCAAGCCTTCTTGTGGCAGCAAAATATTTTAAAGTATTTTAAAACGTTTAAGAATATATAACGTATATTTTTAAAAATATTTTATTTTGGAACACGATACTTTAAAATAACTGCTAAACAAGAGCGAAATATGTATAAGTTAATAACCAACCACATTTCCCATATTATTATAATGTATATAATAACACATCTTTCCAATATTTCAAAGCCGACGAAGATGGCCAGCTAATACCCATTGGCATGTCCAACGACTGTGTGGCGCAGACGTGGTACCGCTTTCTGCGTATGATTGGCAATCCCACGGCCCTCTGCTCACCACATATCATCAGCAAATCATCACACTTCGTGCAGTGGGCATTGACCCACGAAAAGGGCGCCGAGACGCATCAGCATCCGTGTCTGCAGCAGCTGCCGCAGATCTTCCTTAATGCCATGAAGGGCATCTCCAGTCAAGTGGACGCGTTTCTAGGTAGGATCCTTGCAGAAATTTGTGTGTTATTATTTTGCAAAACCTGGTACTCCTAGTATGTTTTCTGGCTTAGAACATATAGCTTAGTCTGTCGGTTAGATTTTTCAGGCATATTTTCCTTAAAGAGATTATATTGTCTCCTAATTTGTTACTTTAAACATTTATTTCATTAGTGTTCACATTGTTATAACCATTTAGAACTTAAAACATGCCGAGTACCGGGGGTTTGTTATAGTCGGTAAATTCCGACTTGGCCGCTCTTACACTTTTAGCATTAGTTTTGTGGTAGGCTAGCTCAGTACTTCTCTCTTTTCTCTCTGTTCGTTTGTTTATCTCTGGCTTTGCTAACCCCGAAAATTGTATCTAAACTGAAAATGCTTAAATGCGTAACTGAAAACCGCCTGCAAAAACCATGCAACGAAAACTAGGCGTTTATCAGCCGCCGCCGCAGCAATCGGAGGGCGTGGTGACGAACCTGCTGGAGATCCGGCATTCGCTCAACGAGGCCACCTCCACGACCCTGCAGCAGTTCATCCACTCGAGCAGCGCCACAAACATAGCGAATCACCACCAGCAGAATCAGGCCAGCCATCACCACCATCATCTGCACTACCCGCATTTGCATTTACATGGCGCCGGTAGCTTTCTGCGCGACAATTTCATGAGCAACTCGGCCAGTTCCGCCCTGAACGCCATTATGGGTCACCATGGCGGCCATCACCACCATCAGCAGCAGCAGCAGCATCATCATCAGCAGCAGCAGCAGCTACAGATCAGTGCCTCGCCCACCAGTAATCTTTCGGCCTCTGGTGGCTCCGCCGTGGGCAGCACCAGTGCCGGAGGCAGTCACTCCGCCGGAGTCGTTGGCAGCATCTCCTTTGCCACCACCGAATCGTCCGGAATGGGACAGCCCGCCTCTGCCACGCCCACACCGCCACTGCAGCGACGTCTGGCCAAGAGCTTCAGCGTGGCCCCGACCATCACACAGCAGAAGGGTGCGACTCTCCACGGAGAATCTCTATTTGGAAACCACCGAATGTTGTACTTTTTGTTGTCACACCAAACAATCTTGTAAACTTTATTCTGGCAGAGGGTTTTTGGGGTATTTGAAGTTTAGGAGTTAACAAAAATTACATATTCCTTTATATTCATCTTGAATGTTTTCATTGTAATTTAACTAGTAACCAAAACAAGTAAAAGCCTTTATAATTGTCCGTTAGAAGATACTTGTTTAGGATTTTAAAGATTTGGTTGTATAAAAATTTGTATGTCAAATTATTTGTTTAAAATTTACAGATGAACAAGAAGATTTACCAAATAATGTATTTAGAGCGAGATTTTCCTATACTTTTTTGGGGATAGTTGTGAATATCAAGGAATTAGAAGACTAATAGAGCTTAATGTTTTTATAATTTGTGTTATTTTAAGTATTCAACACTCACAGTTCTTAAGAAGACTTACCCATAGGAAACCCGTCTGCCAGGGCATCTGAACTTCGGTGCACCGAAGCCAACCTTTGGTTTTATTTCTGTTTTTGTTGCCATGGCGTGCTTCTGAATTGACTTGACTTGGTTTGTTTTTTGCCTGCCTAGATGTTGTTTGCCTTGATCCATCGCCACATTTCTCCCAGCCAAGTTCGCACTCACAAGTTTTGCATTTTAGCTTTGTCTTTTGTATTATTTTCTTTGGCATTTCTATTTTTTTTTTTCTTTTTTTATTGTATAATTTGTTCCGTAGCATGAGTGGAATAATCTCGGTGTAATTGCCCGGCGCGGATGAGTCGAGTAACTGTTGCCACTTTCCACCGGTCGGATTATGCATTGTAATTTATCTCCGAACGCCCACAATTATACACATAGCATGCTCCCTTTGTATCTGTATCTCGCGCTCCGCATATCTGTATCTAATTTCTCTAACAATTTCTCACACCTGCTCTGCTCTGCTGTGCTGTGCTGTGCTGTGCTGTGCTCCACTCACCCAACGCCTTCACCATCGCAGGCTTGAGCAAGACCTCGCTTATTGGCCTCACCGGCGGCGGTGCACGCAATGCGATCGGCAGCAGCAGCACCACCACCAACACCACTTCCAGCACCACCGCCGCCGGCAGCACCGGCGGTATCTCCTCCTCGTCGCCCGCCATTGGTGGCTCTGGCGGCGGAGCGGGATTGCCCGGCGGCACGGGAATCCCCGGCAGCACGGGCTTGGGCGCGGGCAGCGGATCCGGTCCTGCTCCGGCGCCCACCACTCCCACGTCCACGTCGGGTCCGCCGTCGGCGAGCAGCAGCATCAACTGTAAGTGCACTGGGGAAAAGCCGGTGTCTGATCTTGATTCATAGCTAACTATTTTTCTTTGAATATTTCATATTATTTTCTTGGAAAATATTTATAAACTGGTTTAAAATTAGCTTTGAATTATTAATATTATTTTCTTGGAAAACAAGTTATATGGGTGCAATTTAAAAGTTTTAAAGTAATTTAAATAGATTTGATGATTTAAACTAATTTTTCTTATATTAATTGACTATTTTTCTAATGAGTTGCTAAAAAGTTTTAATAAATGTATTTTCTGAATATTTGTTATAAAAATATATTTTCAGTAGTTTTAAAACTTATATTTCGGAGCTTAAGTAATAGCTAATATTTGAATTTTACAAATACAAAGCCAGAAGTCTTATTTTTAATGAGCTTTATTATGAATTATCTAAAAATCATATGAGCCAAGATCAAACCGGCGGTTTTAAGTTCAAAATCACACGAGAAAACCCATCTTCGGATGGTTTATATATTAGCTAATTGGATCTATTGTTTTGTGTGTGCTGTGTGAACCGTTTGTGAGCTTCTCCCGCGCCGCCTAACAATCTAACAGATGTTTTAACCGCCCCCCATTACCGTCATTGCCTCTCTGTCTGACATGGTTTGCCCTCTCTCTCCCTCTCGCTGTTCCGGCGATCGCAGCTCTGCCGCTGACTTCGATGGGAGCGGGCGTTGAGTTGGCCGTGGCCAGGCCCAAGTGCAACAGCATTCTCCACGTATTCCACGAGTGGCTCTTCGAGGCGGCGCACATCGGAGGCGACACTTGGCGCCAGAACCGCAAGAGTAAGTTCCGGTATCCGTTATCCGGTTTTAAAAATAATTATGTTTTATATATACAATATTTAAAATAGATCATTTATTTACTAATTCAAAATTTTAAGGCCACATAATGTGGTTTCAAAGAGGTGTTTCATTTTAAGAGTTTATAAGTTTGAGGTACTTTTAATATTTTTTTTTGAAAGAGTCAATTATTTTGTTTTTTAAAGTTGTTTATATTATCCACTAAGCACCTTATATCGAAAGGTTTAGTCACTATTACTTTAAAATACATGGAAACCTGTTAGACTTAATGTTATATATTAAATATAATTTTAGAAAAAAAAAAACATTTCTAATATTTCAACATGTAAACTTATTTTAAAAAAATATCGATCGTTTTAAAAATATGCTAAAAAAGCATACACAATTTTTTACTTACTTAATTTTACAATGATTAAAATCATTTTTTAAGCAATTAAAAAAATATGTATATTATATATTCGATTTTATAGGTTTATAAAAGATTTAATTTAATTGTCTTTTTCTTTTTTTTGCCACCCACAACCAGAGCAAGCATGCGAGGCCAGTAAGCGGCCGTCGTCGATGATCATGGAGCACCGCAAGGGATCCATTTCGCTGTCGCAGCCCAATTCCCTGAACGATCCGCAGTCGCTGCCGCCGACGTTGACCATCGACAAGTACGAATCGGGAAGGGCCGAGGCCATTGGGACGCTGTGCAAGATCTTCTGTGCCAAGAAGACGGGCGAGGAGATTCTGCCCGTGTATCTGGCACGCTTCTACATGGCCCTGCAGCAGTGCCTGAAGATCACGGAGTCGCGGGAGTGCGACGAGACACTGGCCAGCATCCTGCTGCACTCGAGCGACCTCTTCCGCTTGGACCTGGACGGCATCAATGTGCTGCTGCCGGGCTTCATTGCCGCCCTGGAGATTGTCCTCCCAGATAAGGACCTTAAGCTGAAGACCCAGTCGATGGTCTTTAATCGCACCGAGCTGCGGCGCTCGGCCATCAACATACTGCTGTCCATCATGGTGCTACCACTGCACTACCAAACGCTGCCCATTAGGGATCTCACCAGCGAAACAAGCGAGAAGTGAGTTTGCACTTTAAATCAGGAAAATAGAGTATACTAATTTGCCTTTAATCTTACAGAATGTTCACCTTTATCCAACTAAAGTCGCGGCTGATGAACATCCTGATGAACGCGCTGCAGGTGGAAACGGATGCCCAGAACACGCACATGCTACTGGGCGGCCTGCTGCTCTGCGTCCAGGATGCCGTCACTTTCGAGGAGACGGAACTGGGCGGCGGTAATGCCAATCTTTCGCACAACTCCAGTGGCGTCCAGCACCACGAGCCCAATCTGCTGAGTTCCGGTGAGTTTTTTTTGCGACTCCCAAGGTCTTTGCCTTGACCTCATTCAATAACATTTTGATTTGTCTTTGAAATTTGTTTTATTTAATTGCTCTTGTTTTTATTCGCATTTCCTTTTGGGCCTTTTTTGTGTTTTGTGTGCTGATGATGATCAGCGTGCTCGGAGCGTTCCGCTTCGCTGGTCAGCGCCGGCACGGCCAGCTTGGGCGGCCAGACGACGGCCACAATGGGAGCGGGATCGGGCTCCATGCGCGACACCGCCTCCGCCCACGATTATCCCAGCCTGACCATTTCCGATGACATGTCATTCGAGTTTGGCCAGGAGCTGGAGGGCGTGACCACCTATGGTAAACTCTATTTTCTTCATTTTGTTTTTTATTTTGATTTTTAAGGGGAGTTCTTTAAATATTAAGTATTTAAAGATGTAAATGAATGAAAATGTAAATGAATTTTTGTAGGTTTACTTGGTTAACCATTTAATCATTTATTTGTATATTTGTTCAAACTTTAAAACTTTCTGAAGTTTATAAACACTTTGGTACATTTATTTTTGAATTTTTAAATAGATCAGTTTTGTGGCTTTGCCATTTAAAACTTATTATTATAATATGATATCTTTAACAACTCTTAACATAACTATTAATGTTAGGCAATTTCTGATTTAATAACTATTTAATAACTTAACAATTTTTGCAGATAATGCCCATGCCTTATTTGTACGCGCCACTTATTTGGTGTGTCATCGTCTGATTTCGTCGTGGAAGACGGATCTGAATGTTTCGCTGGCCGCCTTGGAGTTGCTGTCGGGTTTGGCCAGACTGCATATCCGGGAAACAGGTAGAGTGTGCTTATCCGAAACTTGCATGTGATGTTGGTGTATATATGCTCCTGCAAAGGTTTTCTTTAGAGTTTATGAAGGGAGTTTATAAAGAGCTTATCCATATATCGATTAAAGTGTTACAAAGTAACACATTATTTCTGCCATTAACACACCGTTTCGAAAGGTTTTATCAATCCAAAAGGAAATATTCTAGTTTATAGGATCACCCCGATTTAATAATTACTAATAATCGGACTTATTTCATTATTACAGTTGATAGTTTCCAAGTGAGAATCAGTTAATGATAGGGCTATTGTTATAGTTTTTATAAAATGCATGTTTTTAAAGGAGTCGAAGATTCCAAAATCCTTTGCAAGGGCATTTAAGGCTTCGGTTTCACCGAGGCTGCACTTCCTTTCCTGATTTTAATGTCGTTTGTTTGTTTTCTGCCCAACTCTGTTTGTTTATTTTCGAACTGTAACCATGTGCGTATTCTTTAAATGTTAACCCTCGGTGTACAAACCCCCCCCCTATCAACCTTAACCCATGTTAACTGTTTGCTTAACTGTGCAGCCAGGAAATTTACTAATGGTAATTGATTGAAGGAGCCAACTAACCTAACTAACGCCACTTTCTTCTGTCTTTCTTTCTTTCTTTTTTTTGATGCGTTTCTTTTTCTAACCGCCATCGAACCCGCACCACCACCACTGCACCACATCCCGAAAAAAAAACACTAAAATAATAATATGACCCACATTCATCCACATCGCCATCCATCAACTCACGATGATTGCAATTTGTTTATAAATATAATATATATATATGTATATTTAATTTGCATCTCCCAACCGATAACGAATGTATATATATAACCAACCAACCACCAACACCACCACCACCACTCATCCAAACCGCCCACGTAGACACCTTAGTGAAAATATACGAAGCTAGTCAGAATCTAACGATAATCTCCTCAGACGCTCTAGAGTGCAAGCGGGCCGTGAAGTGGATCTGTGACTATATCTGCTACCAGTGCTCCCGTCCACCGCCGGCCCATAGCAAGGATCTGCACAGCACCATTGTGGCGGCCTTCCAGTGCACAGCCGCCTGGCTGATGCAGCATCCGTATTTGCTGCAGGACAAGGATTGCCTGCAAACGGTCCTCGAGGTGGTGGAGCTGGGCATATCGGGCACCAAGAGCCAGAGCAAGGGCACCGACATACCCAAGTTCAAGGACGAAAAGGAGCTGAAGCCGGCCTCGATGAGAGTGCGAGATGCGGCAGAGAATCTGCTGACCATTATACTGGAGCAAGTGGGCTATTTCCCCAGCGAGTGCGGTCCGGAGTCCATATCATCGCTGCTCGATGAGCTTGCGCTGATGAAGCACTGCAATTCCATGGTTCCGGCGGCGGCGGCCAGCAGCGAACAGGCGATTGCCAAGTTCAAGTACTTTGTCACCGAAAACTCCACCATACTGGCACTCCTCGAGGAGCCGCTGGGCAATGACCAGGATCCCCAGCCAACGGTGACATGTAAGGCTCATGTACTTGCACAATCCAACTACTTTTGCTAACAAGTGATCCCCCTTTTTAGTACTCATTCGCGGCCCGTTCGGTCGACATGCCTGGACAATGCAGCTGCGCCATCTGCCGCGCAGTAAATCTGGGATTAAATACCATGCCGTTAATCCTGGCAGACCCATACCCATGAACGATGTCACACAGCGGCCGGAGTGCGAGCAAAAGAACTTCCCAGACGGTGTGGACAAGGTGCAGCCCTGTGTGGCGGACTACTCGATACCCACTATCGAGCAAATGCGCGAGCAATACGGCACGGCGAGCATTCAGGAGCTGGAGTCGATGCTGGAGAAGCAGAGCATCTATGAGAAGCTGGCCTGGGCGGAGGCGGACACCAGTGCGGACAGTTTGTCGTATGCGCAGGAATGCGTGCCGCCGGCGGTGTGCCACGAGTTCCATGCGGCGCGTCTCTTCCTCTCGCACTTCGGTTTCCTCGGATTCGAGACGCGCAATCCGCACAATCCGGCCGAGGCGCTGGGCAATCCGCCACAGCGGCCGCTCATCGTGTTGGACACCAAGTCCACGGCCTTCGCCGCCGATCTGGATCGACTGGACAAGCTGAGTGCAAGGACTCACGATACCGTCTATGTGTTCTACGTGAAGGTAGCTCAGCCGAAGATTAAGAAATTCAAAAATGTGTATTTAATTTTATATTTCTTACAGTCTGGTCAGACGAGTGCCCAGCAAATCATCGCGAATATGGCAGAGGAGCAGTCCGCTGGCCATGATCCGCACTTTGCCAGCATGTTGCAGACGTTGGGCTGGCCTGTTCAGGTCTCGGAGCACTCCGGCTGGACGGGCTTTGCCCACAACTCGTGGTCACTCAAGGGAACGCCCGAGGAACAGCAGAAGTCCACAGGCAATGAACTCAACTACAATGGCTCGCAGAGGGTGCTCTACTGGGCGGATGTGTCCTCGGAAATCGCCTTCGTGGTGCCCACAACGTGGAATCTGCGGCACAATAGCGACACCAGCGATGGCGGAAGTATCTCGAGCACGGATCAGATTGGCTCCAGCAATGTATGGGCACGCGGCGAGGTCGATGGCGTGACTGGTTTGGCGAAGTCCAAGTCAAGGAATCTCAGTCTAGAGCTGGACACGAATCGCAGGGATGCAAAGGAGCCAGTGCCGCCGACGCGGCGAAAGGGAAATGTGACGAAGCCCACCCTGCTGGCCCAGGCGCCGGCCAAGATCTTTCTGGTGTGGCTGGAGAGCTACGAGGACTACCTGAACTTTCCGCTGGAGGATGTGCTGGCCTATACGCGCACCGGCGAGGAGCTGCACACGCTGCAACTGCCCCGTGCCTCCGACTGCCACGTGATCTTCGTGCACTCGCTGCTGTCCGGACTGCTGAGGGTCAAGCTGCAGGGTCCGCCGGGTAGGATGAGCTTCGCCACGCCCCTCGTCGATGGCATGGTGCTCAGCCGACGTGTCGTCGGCAATCTGGTGCGACAGACGGCACTGAACATATCACGCCGCCGGCGTCTGGACAATGATAAGTGAGTGGACTCCTCTCTCTCTACATACCAAATACCCATCTAATCCAAACTCTTTATTGTTTAGCTACCAACCGCCGCATGTGCGACGACGGCTAAAGGTGCAGGACATTGTCCAGAAGTACAAAATGGATCTAAGCGAGGCCGAGCTGCTGGCCCATCTGTTCCAACGTGCAATTTAGCCGGCTTTAGGAAGTATTATTAACCCGCTTGGCAAAGCGTCCATGTCCTTGTCTGTATTAACGTGTGCTTAACTAAAACCCCACAAAACTGATTAGTATTGGGTGTCCACTGAGTGTTACCCGAAAGTTAATCGTATTCTAATTCTTATTTTTTTGCTAATAAATCGAATTATACTTTGTAAAAGTATTTGTAATATTATAACTGCCCTGAGTTTTTGGCCTGGTTATTGGGCAATTTGTTCAAGCTGTGAAGCGGTAACAAAGGGTGTCCGATGTGTATAAATATTCACATAATTGGCAGCCACATCCGAAATCAATTTAGCTCACAGCGAGGTGGCCACAAACATCAGAGATGATCGCGAGACGCGGAAGTGAAAGTGAAAGTCGTGAGCGATCTTTTGTTGCGGATTTTTAGTTGATCATATTAAAAATAATATATATTAAACACACTTCTAAATAATAACCATAACTTTCCGTACAGTCATCCGATTTCAAAATGGCATACTTCTAAATGATCGTGGTTTAATTCTCTAAAAAACTGTGTTTTCAGTTTGATTTGTATTTTTGGGTCGATTTTTCGTCATTTCTATGATGTAACCCCTTTCCAAATTTTCGAAAATTGGCTTTGCAGAAAAGTGACCTAAATCCTGCACTTCTAAGCCCATAACTTTTTGTACAGACATCCGATTTCAAAATGGCATACTTTTAAATGATCGTGGTTTAATTCTCTAAAAAACTGTGTTTTCAGTTTGATTTGTATTTTTGGGTCGATTTTTCGTCATTTCTATGATGTAACCCCTTTCCAAATTTTCGAAAATTGGCTTTGCAGAAAAGTGACCTAAATCCTGCACTTCTAAGCCCATAACTTTTTGTACAGACATCCGATTTCAAAATGGCATACTTTTAAATGATCGTGGTTTAATTCTCTAAAAAACTGTGTTTTCAGTTTGATTTGTATTTTTGGGTCGATTTTTCGTCATTTCTATGATGTAACCCCTTTCCAAATTTTCGAAAATTGGCTTTGCAGAAAAGTGACCTAAATCCTGCACTTCTAAGCCCATAACTTTTTGTACAGACATCCGATTTCAAAATGGCATACTTTTAAATGATCGTGGTTTAATTATCTAAAAAACTGTGTTTTCAGTTTGAATTGTATTTTTGGGTCGATTTTTCGTCATTTTTATAATGATATGTTAAAAACCAAATGATTTTAAAGAAATATATTATCAAACAATGTGATTAACAAAAATTATTTTGAAGCTTTTGTAAATGTTAAAGTAACTATTATTGTTTATTTAAATGTTAAAGTCATTTATGGGCTTGCAAAATGACCCAAATTTCTAGATTATTCTTAAATTATAATATTATGGTATGATTTAGTTTAAAAATTGAGGTATACCAATCAAAGGTGATTTCTTCGTGAAAGTTCGTGGGTTCAAAGGCCCTCAAAGATCTCACGTTTCCATCTCCATTGGTCCGCAGCATCTTGGTAATTTCACCTTTGACTTGGGGGTCTGGGAGTCTTGGGGTCTTGGGGTCTGGGAGTCGGAACTGGAATTGGGTCCGGTGATCGGAGTTCGGCTATTTGGACACACGCGGGCCCGGCATTTCGCAACGCCTCCGAGGGGCAATCAATTCAAAACTAAACTGTGGCCGAACGAGGGCCATCTCGTCATCATCAATGAAAGTCGTGATGTAATCGCATAACGTGTTACAAATTTCTGTCGGGTTTTGCATATGTTCGGGCCCCATTTATTTATTAACAAATAATATAAGTTAATGATGAAGTGGCTGATTGCCTGCTCTTCGCTTTTCTTGTGATTTTCTCAGCCTTGAAAATGAAATTGGGTAAGCATAATGATGGAATTGTTGATGCTGTGGGGGCTATTTTAATTCATTTGTTTGTTAGTTATTTATTTAATTACGAATCTTATTTAATTTATTTTCTTAACCCCCTTTTGCCTACACATAACTATGGATGAGGTAACTGCTTGGAAAGTAATTAAATGGTTTCAAAATTAAAGAAATTGATTGTTTTGATAATTTCTTATTTAAAATTAATTATGGGAAAACAAAAACTTAATTGTTATTTAAGTGTCGTTGCGTTGTTTATTTCTTAACAATAATTTATGAAATGCAATTAGATTTGTGTTCCTGTAACATCAATATAGATTTGTACCATTTGATTACCTTATTTGCACTATTTAAGTAAAACACTTTATGTTATTTCAAATTGTTTATTAACAAATAATTTAAGTTAATAATGATGGATGTTTTGATTATCTTTATGTTTGATAATGACTGTGAAGGATTAGCCTAGGAAAAAAAATACATAACGATAGAATAGAAGATAGCGAAAAAAAACAATTCATTTGGTCTAACTAACTAGGCGGGTCAGCGGATGCACTGCATCTACCAGGCGGAGGGTGGGCCACCGGAACTCCATCCACCGGAAGGGGCTCCACCGCCGGAACTCCAGCCACCGGAAGAAGCTCCTCCTCCGGAACTCCATCCACCGGAAGAAGCTCCACCTCCGGAGCTCCAACCACCGGAAGAGGCACCGCCGGAACTCCAGCCACCGGAAGAGGAGCCCCCTCCCGAGCCCCAGCCTCCCTTGGAGCCACCAGCGCCCTGGTTCTGCTGCTCCTGGACACGCATCACCTTCAGTGTGCCCCGCTGCACCACATGACCGCTCTTGAAGAAGTCTCCCTGCGCCTGGTCCGCCTTCATGATGATGGCCTTGCCCTTGGAGCCGAACGTGTTGATCAGCTGGCCATTGATGGCAGCCACATCGGAGGAGCCACCACCGAAGCCAATGCCGCCACCGCCGCCGCCCAGGGAATCCTCCTGCAGCACCAACTGGATGATCTGCGGCAGAATGGCATTGAACTGCTGGGCATCGAAGGAGGAGGCGCCACCGTAGCCATGTCCCGAGGCATATGACTGTCCGTAGGAGTGCGAGTGACCCTGGGAGTGACCGTAGGAGTAGCCACTGGAACCGCCCGATGCATGATAGGCAATGGGAGCGGCTGGCGGAGCAGGAGCAGGAATCGAAATGGGAATGGCGACGGGAGCTGGAGCTGGAGCTGGAGCCGGAGCCGGGGCCTGTTCAATTATCTTGTAGATCTGGGCCTGCTGGCCGCCATAGGAGCCGTGATCTTGGCCATAGGACTGACCGCTGGCATAGCCATGACCATGACTGTAGCTTTGGACGCCCGAGGACACAATGCCGCCAGCTGATCCTCCGGCGTTGCTGTAGCCCTGACCCTCCTGCAGAATGACCTTGATGATCTGCGAGGAGCCACCGTGTCCATGTCCTCCTCCTCCTCCTCCTCCCTGGGAATAACCATGCCCCTGGGCATAGCCATGACCTCCTCCGCCTCCCTGGGCATAGCCATGACCACCTCCACCGCCGCCGCCTCCTCCTCCTCCTCCCGAAGTGGGCGTGGCTATCACGTTATAGGTGGTCTTGCTGCCTCCGCCTCCTCCTCCTCCACCGCCACCCAAAAAGGACAGGAAGGTGGCATTGCAGGCACAAATGGTGGCCAACAGGCAGATGAAGACCTGGTGATAAGTTAATCCGTTTAGCACATATCCAGCGGTTAATCCACATCCGGTGTTCCAACTACTCACCTTCATTTCAGAATTAGCACTGTTTTAACTCAAAAAAAAAGAAGAAGTGGAATCGAAGACGACACCTGTGCCTCGAACTGTTCCCGACTAGCGAATGATGCCACTCTCCGTTCGATCCAACATTTTTATACAAGAGTTCCGCCGGAGATCCACCACAAACCGTTAGATGCGGCGATGGCCCGTGACGTCAGCGGCGGAGAGCCGTCGATGCGGAGTCACCACCTGCCCAAAGCTGCCCATGCTGCTCTTGTAACTCACCTGAGATCTCAATGGGACGGTACAGGGTGCCCACTTATTGGAAAAAATGTGCATCACAAGAAACATAGCTTAATTTGGTAAAGTTATTGGCCAAGAAAAGGACGATTGGGGTCACCTTTCTGCAAAGCTTACAAATTTATCCGATCATAACTTGTATAAGTGTAGGCAGATTAAGAAATGTATACCCTGGCATAAGAAAATGTTTTTTATACTTCCACTCTTCGAAATGTTTTGGCCATAAGATTAGATTAGTCAACATAGAAGTGCAGTTTTGAGTCAAGGCCATTTTTGATATTAATTATTGATATTAATTATTAAATATAAATACAAAACCTTTTTTATATTAATTATTGATATTAATTATTAAATATAAATACAAAACCTTTTTTATATTAATTATTGATATTAATTATTAATTATAAATACAAATGATTTTGGTTACCATAAGAAAGAAAATAACCCACTACCTCTAAAAAAAACACCCTGTTGGCCGCAATCGTCTTCATCTATTTCTTCAACTGCCCAAATCATATGCAACAAAAACAAATTGCCGGCGGACAAGCAACCGAAAACCAAAACAAAAACAAAAACAATACAAGTAACATAATAACAATAACAAATTCAAGCGGATAACACTGTTTAACCAGTTAAAGCTTAAACAGATGCGATCCGCTCCCAAGATGAGGTGCGTCGTAGGTCAAGTCACCGCAACAAACTGACCGGCTTTTTGCATATGATTATCGATTTGAACGGTTCGGTGCTTACACCTAAATAAATAAATGCATGGAGCATTTCGAAAATATTATAATTTGTGAAAATCTATACTTGTTTGTATTTAAGGAAACTACTTTTAATCTGATATAAATTGCTTATGAGAATTAAATATCAGATCATTTTAATGAATTAATCTTATTAAGAATGTTTATTTTGAGTTTTTTAATACGAAATTAGACAATTCTCTCTTTTAATATTTAGCTTATGGAATATTATAACTTCCCCATTTCAGATTCATTTTATTAGAATCATTAATAGTCAATTACTTCTAAATGGAGAAAGCCCATGTTTTTTTACTGTTTTGAATATTGTGAATATGTATCTGTTTTCTTAATCGTTCTTGTGGTTGTAATACCAATTATTATTATCTTCAAAAAGAAAACATGCAAGCAATAAAATTGAAAGTGTGCCTTTTTCTCCCAGTGCAGCTGCTTGTATTGCAACAGAAATGTTGGGCTGGGAAGGGCCAATGTTGGTGGATCGTGGATTGGCATCTCGGAATCCCAGGCAGCCGGATTATTATATCATGCAACATCGTTTTCAAATTTGTTAATTTTGTGTGCATTTTTGTATAAATTATTTAATGCGCACTGTTGCGCATGCGCAGCCCACTTGCCATCTCTTTCTGTCTCTTGCTCTCTCTCAATTCGCTGATGACCCGTTACCAGCACGTTTTTCGGTTTTAGTTTCAGTTTCGCTTAAATAGCTAAAAGTGAAAAAAAAAACATCGAAATTACAGTCGAACTTCTGTAGTTCATGTCAAAATCAATTGGCCATAGACTAAGCTTAATGAATGGTTACAAATATTTCGGGCATTAAAAGAGCAAGATTGCGATCATAATAAAAGTTAATTAATGTGCTTGCACACCATTTGTTTAAACATTTTTTAATGGCCCAAATGTTAATAGCCCATAACCCAAATCTCTTAAGATCTCTTAAATCTCTTTACAGACATATAAATTCAATTGTTTAAGGATTTTAATGATTTTTATTTAAAGAGTGTATTGAAGACTGATAATATGAGCATTTTTAAATGGCAATGGAAAATAGAACATCTTCTGTCGGAAGGAATTTATGGGACTTCCTGATTTAAAATAAAATGTTACATTTTTAGACACTTTGAAAAGTGATTTTAAGTCCATAATGATTTCTGTGGCAGTGTATACTTCTAAATAATTGCTTTGTAGAAATTCCTTCTTCTTGTCATTTTTCTGATACAAATATAAAAAAATGTATTATACATATATTTTCTGGTAGTTAAGTTAGGGAAGTTGTACTGTGCATTTTGAGGCGATTGGAATTTTATCACCTTGCTGTTGTTTTTTTTACAGTGGGCCCACAAGTGTTGTTTGGCTGCCGGGTGTCAAAGCATCTTGTATTGGAGACTGCCCCAAGTTCCCAGAGTCCGGAGCTCCATGAATGGTAATCGGAATTATCATAATGCGCCCGAGTTGACGTGGTGTGTGCAAATAGTGGCCAACTGATCAATGGGCAGCGCCGCGTGGACCGAAATCGACTTATGCAACCCAAAAATGTGGTTTACGATATGTCATATCTATTTAAATGTGTCGATTGAAATGTGTTTTGCCCAAAAATTCCCTAGGCGATAGCTTTTCACATGACAACACGGTGAGGAGAAACTATATATTTACTATATTCAATATTGAGCCCTTTTAAATCAGCGTATGTTACTTCTTTTGGTTAAAAAACATAAAAATTACACGTTTTTTTATTCCAGAAAATTTTTAAGTTTATTATATATCAATAATATAACAAAAGGTTTATTTTAAAGGCATCTGAAGGTCAATACTTCAGGTCATACTTTCATCAGAGATATTGAAAGGTTAATAAAACGTTCACCTGACTGACAACTGTTGAAGCATTCATACTTAGCCCATTAGCTTTTTGGTGGCGATCTACTAAAGATTCGAAAATTAGATTTCCATCCTCTAAAAGTTGATTCCACAATGTATGCTTTTTCTCGAATCCCCCAACAAAAAACGAAAGATTCCAAAATCTTTTCGTAATAAAAAACACGAATTTCTTTGGTTGAAAGATAAGAGTTTGTATTTTTATATAATTTTTCAGTATTTTAGCTGTGTTGCTCTTTGCTGTTCTTTGTTGTTCTTGTTGTTGTTCGTTATTGTTATAACTTATTTTAATTAGCTTTTCGAAATATTAGTATTAAATGTGGTTTTTAAAAGTGAAATGTAAACAATTTGTCCTCATCATCGCGGATTCGCATTGAATTATTTATTATTTGGTTTTCTAGTAACTTAGCGAAATAATACGAGCTTTATTGCGGTATTGCTTGTTAATGTACTTTTGTATATATTCTAATCTAGGGCTATACGCAAGCGTCTTGAATTGGATTTTCCTTTTCGATTTCTAAGCAACCCTAGGCGACAACCCAGCAATTAATTATTGAAAGTCTAAAGTAAAGCTGATTTGTGTGTAGTTGTGTGTACACTGGTGCAGTAACAAATGGTGATCGCAAGTGTGTGAGCACTGGTCTCCCTTTATGTGTGTGTGAGTCTGTATGTGTGTAAGTGTGTGTATGTGAGTGTGTGTGTGTGTGTTGTGTGAACGCTTGGCGTGGACTCAATTTCAAATCAAGTGTGTGTGTGTGTGTGTAAGCAAGTTTTTCTCTCAGTGTACTCAGTGTGCTCTTGAGTGTTTATTTTTAATGATCCTCCAAAATGTTTCCTCTAGACGAAGTTAACTTACGAAGTTTCTCGCGCGTGTATAATATAATTATTTAGTTGTTTAAGTTAATATTAATATTTATTATTGCCAGTTTCGATATGAAAATAATTTTAAGATATATTATTATATATACGCTTCCATTATATCGCTTCTCGTTTAGTTATTGCAATTGTTATAAATATTTCTGGTTTGGTGTAAAGTAAAATTTGTTGACTAGTTTTAATCGCTACGCTTCTTTGCTTCTTAATACTTTCCGTTACTTTTTTGCATTTGTTTGCTGCATTTTCTTTCCTTACGTTTTTTTTTGTCAGTGTGTGTTTGTGTGTGTGGTCGTATGTGTATAACTTTAACGGCATGAGTATGGTGTTAGTGTATTTTCTAATTACTTTCAGGCTTAGGCATATAAATTGCTGATTTTCATTCGATTTTACTAGCTACGTGTTAATAATAATCGTAATCATAATAATCCTCATAATAATCGCGATAACAACAGACTAAAATTAATCTTATAATGCAACTGTGTGTATGTGCTTTTTATTTTTTGGTTTGTTTTTCTTTTATGTACATCAATTTGTTAGTTGAACTTGTTTCAGCATAGTTTTGAATTATTGCTTTCCGGTTCACACATCGTGGCTTTTTTTTTTTGTTAGGGGGCGTGTCCACAATTGATGATTGGATGTATCGTTGGGCGCTGCTTTTTTTCCATTAACCGTATAGCCTGTTAATGTTTAAACTTAATTATGATTTAAATATTAGTTTTAATAAAAAAAAGTTATTGATTTAACTGCTCAAAATCGGTTACATATAAATTAAAAAAGTATTAATCGTTAATTTAGTGAGCTTAACACATAACAATGTTTCAAATTAGTATAATTCGCTCATTCGTAGATATGTATTTGATTTTTTCAGCAATTTTTCAAATAAATAAAGTTCTAAAACAGTAATATCACAACCTTTAAATAACAAACTTTATGCTTAATAATGATTTGAAATTTGCGGTTTCAATAATTAATTAGTTTAATAATATAGACAAAAAAGCCGTAGAAATCAGATTTTGGAAATGTTTTCAAAATTAGGATAACGGTTATCGGTAAAGCAGCACCCAATCGCCATAATTTTTCGCGTCATTTGGTTGGCCGTTTGTTGAGGACGGATTAACTACTTACTAAAAAATGCAATTACTCTCATTTATATAAGTACTCCCTATATATAGATACATATATATATATATATATATATATTCTGTGAGTGATCTGATGGAACTAAACCAATATTTATCTTATTTTGGTATGCGTGGCACGATTTCTCAAGCAACAGTGCGGGAAATATATATGCGAATGGATGCGTGTATGCAATGTATTCCGATCTGGAACTGAAGTTTGAGGAAACCGGCCCCCGACTGGGTTATATCCGATCCGATCTGATCTGATCCTGTGTTTATTATTCGTTATTAAGGCAATCGCATTTGGTTAATTAATTTTAGATTAGAGTATATAATGCCATTCGATTTGAAAATTGCTATTTATGGGACTGTTTTCCAACAGTTTTTCAAATTACATACGTGTTTTTTTTTTTGGGGGGCGGTGTGTGTGTGAGTTTGGTAGTGGTAATTTGCGAGATCTCTCGAATGAACTTAGCCTTTAATTACATTAGGTTAGATATAATAATTAATTGTTTACTTTGTTTACGTTTACTTTTATATGAAATCACAGTCCGTATGTGAGAAAGACTTTATATATGTACTCGATAATGATGATAAAATACATGGTATTTTGGAGTGGGTCCGGGAACTCCTCTCTATATATATCCTACATATTGCTATATTGGTGTTTTTTTTGACTTATATGAAATATGGGATATGGGATATGGGCCATTGGGATAATGGACTACAATTAATTAATAACAATTTGTTGCTGCTTTGTTTTATTTCATCGCTTTCGTTTTCTTTTTTTTCACATATGTGTGTGTATATCTATATATATACTGCATTTATTTAAAATATAAACTATTTGTTGTTGTTGTTGTTGCTGTTATGAAAGGCATTTGCATTGTTTTTCGTTTGTTGATTTAAAAAAATTTCGCTTGAATTGTTATCATTTAACTACATAATGCTAGTAATGTCTATATAATAAGATTTGATTTGAATTGTTTCTTAGTTTTTCATTTGAGTTTTTTTTATTTTTTTTATTAGTTTTTTTTTCATTTAGCTAAAATTTAATTTTCCGACCAATTTCCCCATGCGTTATCGTTTTTCATTGTTATTAACCACTAATCACTCCCCTCCAGCGCCTCAAGTCAATCGTTAACAATCGTTTAACACTCGTTTAGTCTACTAATCGATTAATCAAAAAGACATTTGCCTTGCTTTTCCCATATTTTGGGTATCCTTTTCGCTTGATATGAACTCTCACAGAAAGATGATATAATGGATCGATCTTGAATCAATTAATTTTTTTGTTTTGTTTTTGGGGCCAGAACGCAGGTTAGTTTTAGAGCTTTTGTCAGGCGATAGTTAACGATAGTACACGATAGTTAGGTTCTAATATTGTCATAAAAGTTTGGGGTTCTTTAAATATATATATATTATATATTAAATTGCTGGGGAGAGAGAGAGATAGAGATACAGAGTTTAAGAGAGATGAAATGTTATGTTTCTGTTCTTTACTTGTTTTTATCATCTACTAACTTTAGTTCTTTTCGAGGCTCAATTATAGTAACCATATTATAATCATAATGATAATAGATCCACAAAAAGTCGTTTCCTTAATAGCTGCTCTATTATTGGTATTGGTTTTTTGGTTTTTTTTTCCCATTTTACTAGATAAAAATTCATAAGCGCCATTTTGTCAGCCTATTTCTGATTCAGATTTGATCAACAGTTTTTTTTAATTTGCCATTTCACGCCACCCCTCATTTGCTTAGATTTTCTCAGTGTTTTTTTTTTAGTATTTTTTTTTTTTTTTAGAAGGCCATGCTGGTTCGTCTGCCCCCCAGGCCACCTCCCCCACCGCCGGGTCCACCCCTTGTTAGTCCACTGTGGGAGACACTCCTGCCCATCCTGGCCTCGCTGCCCTTTCGCTCCCTCGCCTTTCTCAGCAAATCCGAGGTGCTGGGCCTCCGGCTGTCCTGTCCTGAGGCTCCTCCTCCTGCTCCTCCTCCTGCCCCTGATCCTCCTGCTCCTCCCCCTCCCCGCTTGCAATTCACTATATCCGATGTTGAGGATCTCCTAATGGTGGGCCCATCCGACGAGGGCAACTGGAGGCTAACAGCTGCTCCGCCCACTCCTCCGCCAGTGTAGGGCGACAAAAAGCTGGGTGAATGTCCCGGCAGAATCGATGTTGCTGCACCACCTCTTGGCTCCTCGGGATCCACACTCTCCACCCGCAAATAAGGCATCCTTCGCTGCGTTTGATCCACTGCCGGAATGGAGCTATTCGGCTGACTTGGCGGAGTGGTGCCCGAGTTGCTGCGTAGGCCACTGTACAAGGACTTCAGGTGAAAGTCCAGGGACTTGAAGTTGAGCAGGGAACGACGCTTCTGGGGCTCATCGCTGGAGGGCAGGACCTGATCCGGGCTGCCGTTGTTAATGTTGTTATTATTTAGGCTGTCGAATTGGAGGTCAGCTGCGATGGGAACAGCTACAGAATCGCTGGCCAGCAAATGTTGCTGCTGCTGTAGTTGCACATATTGCTGTTGCTGCTGTTGATGTTGCTGCTGCTGTTGCTGCTGCTGCAGTTGCTGCTGCTGCTGTTGCTGCTGCTGCTGCTGCTGTTGCTGTTGCTGCTGTTGCTGCAGTTGCTGCTGTTGCTGCTGCTGCTCCTGCTTGCTTATTGTTGTCGTCATGGTATTGCTACTTAGGCTAGTTTTACTGCTAATCACTTTCAAAAATTTATTATCGTTATCTAAGGACTCCTTTCGTCACTGGATGAGGCAGAAGCCCTGCTTGGCAGCATCCTTGGCAGCGTCCACCTCCTCGATGAAGGCCTCATCCTCGTGCTTGGGCGAATCGGCGCCGCAGGGTCCGCCGCCGCTCAGGCTGAGCGGCCCCTGCGGGCACGCTGATTGTCACCGGAGCGCCAAGGTCGAGATCATCGGCGGCCGCACCGGCTTGTTCTCGAGGATCCGCTCCAGCTCCAGCATGACGCTCGAGGAGAGGCGTGGCAGCAGCTGGAACAGCAGGTTAATGGTTAAGTAGTTTCTATAAATATTTTGTTTTAAATAATTTTGGACGAGTGTCGTTATGTAAGCCTATGAATTTTTTTCTTCTAGTGCTTATTTCCTAAAAGATCCCCTTACTTGAAGTCTAAAAAATAATGTATTTTGCATTCCGTTGAAAAGTATATAAAGTACATACATATATTCTGTCTACATCTAGAACATGTCCAAATCGAACAAATATGTCAGAAGTCATTAAGAAATTCAGCAAGAAGTATTGATTTTCACAACAGATGGCGCTTTCAAATTTATGGATTGCCGTGCGAATATAATGGCAGGCGCCATCTGGGTAACAAAGTTTCTATTTATTCACAGTTTAACATTCCCTTAAAATCCCAAAAAAAATGTACTAAGAATTTAAATGGACCTAGTAATAAAAGTAGGTTAATTTGGTATAAGAGCTAACTTACAGCTTTGATTTAGCTTTCATTATAATCAAATTATCTCCTATAAATGTCATCGCTTAAAATATGAAAGCATACATGGATTAACAGCTGTGTTTAAATCAATTCTACTTCCTCTATGTAAAATATCCTAATATTTTTAAATACTATCTAAATTTAAGTTTTTAATTTTGTCAATAATCTTTAGCTATTATTGTTACTTCTTGTTATGCACGATTATTATAAACGATGACTTATTTTTTAGCTGACAAGCCCAATTTATTATAGTTTCTGGGTTTCGTTTTATTGATTTGACTTTTTCAATGTGTATTTGTAGGTGGCTCACTCAAGGTGACTTTGGCTATTTCTGTTCTTATATTCTCTATTAGCATATTCACCTGCAACGACTGCAGGCTCTGGTGGAGCTGTTCCGCCGAAGTGGCGCCCAACAACAAACACTGCACTGGCTCGTGTTTCAGCGACCAGGCGATCGACAGTTGGGTGGGGCTGCAGCCCAGTTTCTCGGCGAGGGCGGCAAGGTCACGGAGGCGGTCGCAGTGGCGGCGTCCCTCCTCGATCCGGTCCTTGCCCCAACTGCCCTGCGGCGACAGAGCGGCCTGAAAATATATTTCAATATTAACCATAAAATGCTGACTTTTAATGCAATTATGAATAATTTATCTTTGGAAAGCCAATCATTTGTATAGTTATAATAATCGTTTATATAGCAATAGATTGGTTATTATGACAATTTTTAAGTGTGGGTATTTAATGAATTTCTTGACATGTTTTAATTTTAAATTTTCTTTTTATTTTATAGTCAAAATTGTATAAAATTAAGAAAAATTCAAAAATAAGAGAAATCACTACTGGCACTCACATTGCGATTGATCTCGTCCTCGGTCCACGAGAAGCTCTTCGTCTTGAAGGATCCCTTGGGCAGGAAGAGCTTGTCCCCGTTCTGGGTGTCGCTCAAGGCCATCGAGAGGGGGCCCCAGGCCATCAGGCCCACCCCGATCTTGTTGTACATCTCCGGCAGGTAGAGCTCACACTTCTCACGGCAGAACATGTGGTATTCGGACTGCTCCACGATCGGCGTGATGCAGTTGAACTGCCGGCAGTTGGTGTACGCCTCCATGATCTCCACCTGGCTCCATCGCGCGGTGCCCCAGTACATTGCCCAGCCCTGCTGTATAACGTAGCTCATGGCGCGCACCACTTCTGGCAAGGAAATGAACAACAGTTTACAAATTGTGCAAAACAAATCGAATAATAAGGGACACATCTGCCGCGCCCCCTTTCATAAATGGTATTTTAATAATCTGGAACCTTTTCTTTTGGTTAACTTTTTCCCGATTTTGATAATTACACGGGCAGTGTGTGTTGGCATTTGAAAAGGGGGCTGTTTGGTACTATTAGTACTATTTCGTTCGAACAACTTACCCTCCATGGGGCACATTGGATCCGCCTTGTGGATGATAACGATATCGATGTACTGCAGCTGCAATCGCTGCAAGCTGGCTCGAACACACTCGATGATGTGTTTCCGTGAAAGACCCCGTTCCTCGGATCTGGAAAAATTTCAACCATATTAGCCACTTATTTCAAGGCTTTTTAAAAACAATCTATTATAAATGTTAAACTAATATATAACAGCTTTTGCTGATAGAGATCGGAATTCGTGTAACATTTTACGCCAATTTAAGTTTTAGAAATAGTAGTTGATATAATACTCTTTTTCCATCTTATCTTAAAATTCATCCAAATTGGAAAACAAATAAAATTCTATTTATATAAGCTTAAAAAGCTATAAAAATAAGCTTATTTTGGAACAAAGTAAATGTAAGTCCTATTTTATATACAAATTCCAAATAAGGATTATTTTTTGAAAACCCCAGTAAAATTCAATATACCCAAATAATGAAGTTTAGCAAACGCCACTCACTTGGTGCTCCAGTAGACCTTCGTGGTGATGACGTAGGCGGTCCGCTTCCATCCCGCCCGCTGCAGGATCTTGCCGATCTCCGTCTCCGAGTGCGCCTCCGAGATGTCGAACAGGTTGATCCCGCTCTCGATGGCCAGCTTGAGGATGGCCTCCGCCTGGTCGTCACTGACGCCCGGCGAGAAGACCGGCCAGGTGCCCAGGCCGACATTGGAGATCCGCAGTCCACTCTTGCCGAGATTCTTGTACCGCAGCCCCGGCGTCGGAGTGGATCCATGCCGCAGGGGCAGCGCCGGATTGGAGCCCAAGCTGATCGAACGGCCTGTCCGCAGCGGAATGCCCAGGTACACGGTCATCGCGGTCGGATTTCCAGGTTTCAAATGGTCGAGTCCAAATGTTCGTGGGTTCAATTGCCGCATGGAAATGAAACATTGCGTTGGGGGAAAATGTGCGTTCCGTTTAGTGAGAAACCTTTTTGGATGGAGAAAGGGCTTTCAAAGTGCCGGGAAACGTGCAAAAACGAACAGCAACGCAACAGCAACAGCAACAAGAATGGTAACAACACAAACGCAATGCCACAATACTCGTAAAAGGAGAACTAAATCAAGGTGACGAAGTGCCTATACTCTACATTTGCTACTAATGTACAAGTTTTCAAAAATTGTATACTAAAAATTACTCCAAGGAACTACTAATAATATCCATTGCCCGCAACGTTTTATTCAGTATTTAACAGGTGTATGCTTAAAACTCTGCCTGCCTAAAAGATATGTTTATTTCATATACAAATGTGTTATAAAAACACTTTATAATAATATGTAAAAGGATTAAAGCGATTTTATGTTTGACATATGGTAAAAGTTTACGTAAGCTTTTGCAACTTACTTTGGTTTAAGAAAATGGAATATATTATAAAATATAGAAAAAAAAGTAAAAAAAGAGCGAAAGCAGTTTAAATATTTGAAACATTTTTGACACCATTTAAACAATTAAGCTATATAAAATAAAAATGTTATTCTTACATTAAAATGAATGTAAATATCAAAGGCAAATTAAACAATAACAAAGCTTATATGAATAAAACACAACAATTGCAAGTAAAAAGTCTGAAATTATCAAATAAATTTAAAATCTTGACACACACATAAGCACATATTCTACCCTCAAAAATTGTTCAAGGTATGCAAAAAAAAACAAATTTGTTTTTTTCAATTAGCTAATTGAGACTGCCTCGGAGGAGAGTATATGTATAAAAAAAATACAAAGAGAGCGGCATGCAATGAACATGAATAAACAAAAGTGACATTTTTCCGTTGGTTTTTCCTGTCCCCAGTTTTTCCCTTTTCCTTTATAAAAAGTGCGTGCGTCCGGTGCGTGTTTTTCGTTTTTATATTTTTGTATTTTGTTTTCCTTTTTGTTTTTTTTTTTGGTTGCGTGATTGTGGCAGGTGGCTTGAGTGGGTGGAGTTGTTTTTCCTCACAAAATGAATAAAATAAATTACAACTGGAATTGCATGTTGTGGCCCTTACTCGAGCAATACGCCCTCGCCTTAATTCGCTAAACAAAACCAACAATTACCGACAGCTGAACTACATTGATTGCGGAGTGCGTTAGGGTTCATTTCGTATATAAGTAATTCATTTACTTGGGCTATTTTGAAGCAAGCGATACTTGCTTGTATGTGGTAGCATGCAGAGGCAGGCAATCGAAAACAATCGAAAAAGTCGAGCAATCGACAGTAAACAACATAAATGATAAGCCTATATGATAGTGAGAAATTTGATACCGAAATCAAGATGACCGCCCGTACCACTGAACTCCTCCATACAGTCGAGTGACGCAATGGGAGCCCGGCACCTGAAATGAAAGATCGGGGAGAATTGGATTAGGATATTACCAGAAGCACATAGAACACCTCTGAAATACAGCGAATATTGACACTAAATATAAACCTTCTTAGAAAACTAACAGCTCAACAATATTGTTATAATATTACGTATTCGCCGCATTGTGCCTTAACAGTCAAACATTTTTGTAAAATGTAAGTAAATAGAAAATTTGTAAGGAGCAGCTATGTTGGTCTCACAGATTTTTCATTTATTTAACTATATATTTTAGTTTAATACAAATGGACATTTTTATTCATATCACGTATACGACTAGTTTGCAGGGATTTGTCAATGGCTTTGTTCTTTTCGACGCCATCTTGCTTTTTCTCTCTTTTTCAATTTGGAAGAATGTTTGAAGAGAGTGAAATCGAAAAATTACAGTTTTAATATTCAACTTAAAGTTCTTAATGGTAAAAATTATACATACGAGTTTTAAATCGTGATGATTAAACTGATCCTCACATTTATTTTTTGTGTCTGTGAAGAAAAATAACTTCAGCTACTTATACTGTAAATCAAAACTGAAAAAAATAATGTTTTTTATATAATAAACTGTGAAACCTGCACAGATACCTTAAAAACCATCCAACTGACTTTTATACCTGTAAATGGTGACCGGGTTCGATTCGTCGCTAGTATTGTCCACATTGTTGTTGTTATTGTTGTTGTTATTGTTGTCATTGGTCGAGGGAGCGACGCCAACGGCGCCATTACCGATCATCAGTTGCTGAGTCGTGGGTCCCGTTACGAAGTTGAGATTGGCGGGCAGCGCCATTAGCAGCGGCGGCGGCGGCAGAGGCAGCGGCAGCGGTACAGGATCGCTGCCAGTGGAAGTGGGTATTTCAATGGAGGTTACCGTTCCATCGATGACGTCACCACCTCCCCCGCCACCGCTGCCATCAGTCGCAGCGCTGCCGCCGCTCTGGTCGTGGCCCAAAAGCAGCGGTGTACTCTCCTGCTGCAGCGTGTGCGAGTGCGAGTGAGCGAGCGACGGCGCTGCCGCTGCCACTGTCGCCGGCGATTGCGACTGCGACGTTGACTGAGCCGTGCTGCCGTCGCCATTTAAATTGCATAATGCCATGGACATTGCTTTATATTTTTCTATATTTTATTAAGCTAGTTTTGAGTTTTATCAAAGTTTATTGTTGTTTTCTTCAGCAGCTGATTGTTTTGCTTTCTATGTTTTTTTGTATACACTATTGGACGCCATTGTTTATTCTAGGTTTGCACATACATCATGTTTATTTAGCTACTGTGTTTTTAGGAATTGAATTTCATATTGTTTTAGGCATTTGATTTCTATTTAACTTTTTGAAGGTTTTTTTTATATTTGCGTGAAAGTCTGTTATTAATTTAAATTGAATTTTTGTTGACTAAATGTTATTTATTAAAATGTATTCTATTGATTCAACTATTTGTACAGCTAATTGAATTTTCTTTCTTTGTTAAATGTTCGTAGTTATTTGTTCAAGTTATTTGGTAGCGTGTTTTAAAAGTTTCATGTTTTATTAGTTATTCGTTTGCTCTTTCCCTTCTTATATTTTCTTTCTCTTATTTTGTATGTGTTTATTTTGGTCTATAACTTTGCTTTAATTTCGTTAGTTTTTAGTTGTTTTTATATATTTATTATTTTTGTTTTCCGTAAATTTTCACTTCATTTCGGATCAATGATTTCTTAAGGATTGCCGTCTTAAAATTTCTCATTACCTTCATGTATTTTACTTAATAAAACCACATTTAATGTTGTTTTGCCCTTTGTTTTTAAATTAATTTGTCTTTCCACTTAGACTAGACTACAAATCACAATGGATTTTGTTTTCTAAATAGCATACTTTTAAGGCAAAGTCCAGTCAGATAAATATTTATTTTCTTATCGCTGTTGAAGATTATAATTTGGAAACTTATTCATATCGCCTTAATCTGTTTGCCAAAAAATACAAAAAACTTGATCGAAACTTTTGCCAAAAGTTTTGTCACAATAATTAAGAATCCGAAGCAAGGCAAAAATAAACAATATTGTCTAGAGGAGAAAGAGATGGAGGTGGTAGAGGGAGAGGGAGAGAAAGAGCTTTTCACCACACTCAGAGAAAAGAGAATACTTCCCAGAGAATTGCGAAAGCTTAATTTACACTTGGCTGACAAATGGAACCACCTGCCAACTTGTTAACACGATCTAATCTTGTCGTAAATCAAATAAGAATATTAAGAATTGTGCCTCGAAAAATTCGTTTTTAAGCTCCCAAAACAAGTTTAACATTTTTAAGTTTCGATGGTTTTTGATTATCTATTTTAAAAAAATATGAAATGAAAACATACCCTTGCAGACGGGTATTTTATATTTCAGTAAAAACTTTGCAATGCAGTGATGGTCACATTTCCGACCCTATGAAGTATATATATTCTTGATCGGCAACACCATGCGGGTTGAGCTAGCCATGTCTGTGCGTCTGTTTAAGGAACGATCGACAAATTTATCTTAAAAATTTATGGTGACCCCTTTCCAAAAATTGGCTTTGTAGAAAAATGACCAAAAACCTTCACTTCTAAGCCCATAACTTTTCTTACAGACATCCGATTTTAAAACGGCATACTTCTAAATGATCGTGGTTAAATTCTCTAAAAAACTGTGTTTTCAGTTTGATTTTTTTTTTTTGTCGATTATTCATCATTTCTATGATGTACCCCTTTCCAAATTTTCGAAAATTGGCTTTGTAGAAAAATGACCAAAAACCTTCACTTCTAATCCCATAACTTTTTGTACAGACATCCGATTTCCAAATGGCATACTTCTAAATGATCGTGGTTAAATTCTCTAAAAAACTGTGTTTTCAGTTTGATTTGTATTTTTGGGTCGATTTTTCGTCATTTCTATGATGTAACCCCTTTCCAAATTTTCGAAAATTGACTTTGTAGAATAATGACCAAAAACCTTCACTTCTAATCCCATAACTTTTCTTACAGACATCCGATTTTAAAACGGCATACTTCTAAATGATCGTGGTTAAATTCTCTATTAAATTCTCTCCCTTTCCAAATTTTCGAAAATTGGCTTTGTAGAAAAATGACCAAAAACCTTCACTTCTAAGCCCATAACTTTTCTTACAGACATCCGATTTTAAAACGGCATACTTCTAAATGATCGTGGTTAAATTCTCTAAAAAACTGTGTTTTCAGTTTGATTTGTATTTTTTGGTCGATTTTTCATCATTTCTATGATGTAACCCCTTTCCAAATTTTCGAAAATTGGCTTTCCAGAAAAGTGACCAAACAACCTCACTTCTAAGCCCATAACTTTTTGTACAGACATCCGATTTCAAAATGGCATACCTTTAAATAATCGTGGTTTAATTCTCTAAAAAACTGTGTTTTCAGTTTGATTTGTATTTTTGGGTCGATTTTTCGTCATTTCTATGACGAAATTTCGAAAACTGGCTTTCCAAAAAAGTCACCAAAATTCTGCACTTCTAAGCCTATAACTTTTCTCACAGAAATCCGATTTGGAGGTGGTATACCCCTAAAGCTTTTGGTTTAATTCTCTAAAAATCTGCGTTAAAAATTTGTTTTTGACATTTTCGGAATATTTTTTGAAATTTGTTTTGAGAAACAATGATCTAGAGACCACTTTTGCATTAAGGCAGAAGTATCGGAGGACATAAATAGAAATTTGATGGGCGTTAATAATAGCTCGTCGCTGGTTCATTAAATCCGCCTCGTGCCAAAGACAGATACGATTGTATCTATATCCCCAAATGTATCGGCGACGGCTTCTTTTTTTGATTTCCCACTATCGAAGGTTAATTATAGATTAACCTTGACAATGATTCAGAATTGGCCAGACAGCTTTTCCGTCTTCATTAGCGGGATCAATTCGGAAAATGCATTACTTGCCTCAGGGAAAAAAGAAGAGTGAGAGGGGCGAAAAGGGAAAGAGAGAGAGACAGCTTTTCACCACGACCGGTCTATTTGACACCCCAACAAGAACAAGAACAAGAGCAAGAACAAGAACAAGGCACAATTTGCGCACGCTTTTCCTCTGCATTTCCCTTTCCTTTTCCCAAACTAACTTTTGACGTTTATGCAATGGTTTACACAATAAAACTGACACCTCCACAGGTAGCTAAATTTAGGGCAGAAGTGACAGGGGATGGATTGCACTCGCTAACTGGGTATGAACTCATACATGTGTATCGTAAGGGTACCAAATGCAATTTAAATAATATTGTGTTATACTCGACAATGATCAAAATAAATATATTAAGTTCGCTATGAACATATAGTTTTATCTTAAATACTTCTTATATTGCAAATAGTTTATAAATTGTTTTGGTAAAATATGTTTTGCAATCTTTTATTTGATATACCTCATAAAGTTTTCACCACCCCTTAATTGCTTTCTTAATTGTTTTTTATTTATGACATCCACATTTTAATAATATTTTCTTAAATTATTTTCTTTAATTAAATATTAAAAGCGTCAAATATTAATTTCTGAAAAAAAGCTGGATTCTATCTTTAGCTTGTTATGATATGCAATAAACTATATTTTGTTTATTTACTATTCTAATTGGTTTTTTGTAACTTCAAAATGAAGTTTTAAATGCGAGAGTATAAAATATTTTTAGCTCCATTTGTAGCACTGTCTCTTCCCAGGGATCAATGACCATTTGTAAGTGGCATCTTAGTGAAAAGTTTCAAGAGACTGCTGAAAAGTTGGCCATTTGTAGGTCACAATTACAGTTGACAGAGCACATACAGAAATACATCTATATGTATATTTTATAAATATATATGGGTAAAGGTGTCAAGACCCAAGGGGCCGAATAGGCGGCTAATCCACAAATTAAACTTTTAGTCAGGTGTCGCACACACACGCCTGCCACTTTCGTTATCCTTGTTATCCTCGTTATCCTTATTATCCCCTATTATTTTCCAAGTGGGGCGGCAAGTGCCAAAGATTATCCGTCCAGG